CCCCCCGGCCTCCCGCCCCGTTCTCACCGGCCGCCCCCGCTGAGGGCCCCGCGCGCCCGCCGCCATCTTCGCGCCGCCGCCCCACGCACCGCGCGCACCGCCCCGCCCCGCGGCCCCGCCCTGAGCACCGGAGGGGGGCGGGGCCTGAGGGCGAGAAGGCGGGGCCTCGAGGGGAGACTGCGCGCTCATTGGCTGCGGCGAGAACGAGGCGGGGACGCGGGCGTGGCCTGGAGGTGGGCGTCGCGGTGCGGGATGCGGGCGGGGCTGCGCGGACCCCCGGGGCCGGAGCGGGACGTGCGGGGCGCCGTGCGTGGCAGCGCCCGGCAGTGCGACCACCGCGTCGCGGAGAACCGCTGGCCACGGGGGTCCCGCTCCGAGGACAGCCCCGCCCCGGGCATCGGGGATCCGTCCCCACGCGGTCCCCCGCGCCCCACGCCCGCACCCCGTGGCGCAGCCCCGCCCCGTCCCCCGCACGCCGCCCCCGCGGCCCCGGGGACCGCCCGTTGCCAGGAGCTGCCCGCAGCCGCGCTCGCGACGCCGCGCTCTGCGGGAGGCTGCGGGACCCCCCCGGCCCCGCCTCACCATGCGCGGCCTCGGCGCGGTGCTGTCCCGCCGCTGGGACTCCAACACCGGACGCGGACAGCGGTGAGCCGGGCTCCCCTTTCCCCGGCCACGATGTGGGGCGATGTGATGTGGGGCGGGAGGGTGCAGCATCTCGGTGCCGTGTCGGCGCCCCGACCGCCCCGCTCCCCCCACCCCGCAGCACCGCCGAAGCCCGGGGACGCATCCTGGACCCCTCCGGGGAGCGCTACTACCGGTGGCTGAGCGCCATGGTGCTGCCCGTGCTGTACAATTGGGTCGTGATCATCTGCAGGTGCGGCGCGGGGCTGGGGGAGGTGGGACGCGGGGAGGGAACGGCCCGGTGACGCCGCCGGCTGGGCCAGGTGCTGCTTCACGGAGGTGCAGGAGCGGCACGCAGCGCTGTGGCTGAGCCTGGATTGTGTCAGCGATGCGCTGTACCTGCTGGACATCAGCGTGCGTCTGAACACCGGTCAGTGTCCGCACAGCCGCACACGCTTGGAACGTGATACACATGGCCTGGAGGCACGGCTTGCCCGGCAGGGGGGAGGGACCCACCTTCCAAGGCCCCCCAGCACCCCATGGCAATATGCAGCACTCAGGACCCCTCTGCCCTCACCTCCCCCTCATGGCACAGCATCACATCAGAGCCCTTCAACCGCTTCAGTCACAATCACCCTGTAAACAGCTGTTCCCCCTCCTGTTTGTACTTGAAGGGAGCATGCAAAAGGAGGGGGAACGGCTGTTTGTGAGGGTGGGTGGTGACAGGACAAGGGGGAATGGCTTGAAAGTGAGACAGGGGAGGTTTGGGTTGGATATGAGGAGGAAGTTTTGGAGGCAGAGGGTGGTGAGGCACTGGCACAGGTTGCCCAAGGAGGCTGTGGATGCCCCATCCCTGCAGGCATTCAAGGCCAGGCTGGATGTGGCTCTGGGCAGCCTGGGCTGCTGGTTGGCGACCTGCACACAGCAGGGCTTGGAGCTGGATGAGCATTGTGCTCCTTTGCAACCCAGGCCATTCTGATTCTATGACTCAGTCCCCCATCACACCAGCCTATGATCCCCCCACTCCCATCCCCACTGCCAGCCACCAACCCCCCCCATCCCTCTGAGCATCCCCAGCCAGGTGCTGCCCGCAGGGTTCTTGGAGGAGGGCATCCTGGTGCTGGATCGGCAGCGCATCCGGCGCCGCTACCTGCGCTCCAGCAGCTTCCTATGGGACGTGGCCTCAGTGCTGCCCATCGAGCTGCTGTGCCTGCGCCTGCGCTCAGCCCTGCGCTCCAACCGCTGCCTGCGTGCCCCGCGGCTCTTGGAGGCCTTCGAGCGCCGGGAGACGCGCACAGCTCACCCCCACGCCTTCCGCATCGCCAAGCTGATGCTCTACGTCCTGGTGGCCATCCATTGGAACGCCTGCCTCTACTTCGCCCTGTCCGTGCACCTGGGGCTGGGCTCTGATACGTGGGTGCACCCCAACGGGAGCCGGCCCGGCTTCGCACGCCCGCTGCGGCAATACCTGCACAGCTTCTACATCTCCACCCTCATCCTCACCACCGTGGGTGACACGCCGGAGCCGTGCCGCGAGGAGGAGTTCCTCTTCATGATGGCCGGCTTCCTGCTGGCCGTGCTGGGCTTCGCCACCATCATGGGCAGCATGAGCTCCGTCATCGCCGACATGAGCGCGGCCGACGCTTCCTTCTACCCGGAGCACGGCCCGGTGCGGCGCTTCCTGCGGGCTCACGGCGTGGCAGGGCGGCTGGTGAGACGCGTGGCCGCCTGGCACGAGCACCTGCGTGCGCAGCGCAAGCTGGCGGAGGAGCGCGTGGTGCTGCGGCACCTGCCTGAGAGGCTGCGTGCCGAGGTGGCCGCCAGCGTGCATCTACCAGCACTGAGCAAGGTGAGGCTGTTCCAGAGCTGTGAGCGTGGCGTGTTGGAGGCCTTGGTGCTGCGACTGCGCCCTCAGGTCTTCGGGCCTGGAGAGTTCGTCTGCCGGCGCGGCGACGTGGGCCGTGAGATGTATTTCATCCGGGAGGGGCGGCTGGAGGTGCTGGGAGCTGACGGTGTGACGCAGCTCGCCGTGCTGGGAGAGGGGCTCTACTTCGGAGAGATCAGCCTCATCAACATCCCCGGTGAGCCCCTGCCGGGCCCCCAGCTTGCCAACCCCACAGTGCCATCCCCACAGTGCCATCCCCTCAGTGCCATCCCCTCAGTGCCATCCCCTTGGTGCCATCTCCTCACTGCCATTCCAACGGTACCATCCCCACAGTTCATCCCCATAGTATCCCCACAATGCCATCCCCTCAGTTCCATTCCCATGGTGCCATCCCCACAGTGCCAACCCTTCAGTTCCATCCCCTCAGTGCCATCCCCACAACGCCATCCCCATGATCCCATATCCTCAGCACCATCCCCACAGTGCCAACCCTTCAGTTCCATCCCCTCCATGCCATCCCCACAGTACCATCCCCTCAGTGCCATCCCCTCAGTGCCATCCCCACAATAGCATCCCCCCCCTGCTGTCCCTGTGCCACCCTCCCACCCCCATGTCTCGCCGCTGCTGGCAGAGCCTGAGCACGGGATGAAGCCAGGGCACATTTTGGTGAGCACAGCCGGTCGTGGTGCTGCCCTGGTGCCGTCCCTGCCTCATGTGCCACCACCACTCCATCCTAACCATAGCGATGCGCCCTCAGGGAACCGCTCAGGGAACCGGCGCACAGCTGACATCCGCAGCATCGGCTACGCAGACCTCTTCTGCCTGGCCAAGGAGGACCTGGCAGAGGTACTGAGTGAATTCCCCAGTGCCCGAGCGCTGCTGGAGGCCAAGGGCCGTGAGATCCTGCTGCGTATGGACAAGCTGGACGTGCACGCCGAGGCGGCGGCGGCGGCAGCTCGGGAGGAGGCTGAGCAGAGAGCGCGGGTGCTGGAGGCGGCGTTGGAGGCTCTGCAGACACGAGCGGCGCGGCTGCTGGCACAGCTGGAGTCCAGTGCCCTCAAACTGGCACTGCGCATCGGGCGCCTGGAGAGCAGGGCGCAGCAGAGGGGCAGGCAGGGGAAGGGCAGCAAGAGGAGTCCCAGCAGGCTGCAGCGTGCCGCGGGGGGAGGGGAGCCCGAGGAGCGACCCACCAGGGCACAAAATCCCACTAAGGCACAGGGTCCCATTAGCGTCCGGAGTCCCAGGGGGGCACAGGGTCCCACCGCAGCACGAGGTCCCATTGGCGTAGTGGGTCCCAGGGGGGCACACAGACCCACCAGGGCACGGGGTCCCACTGGTGCAGGGGGTCCCATTGGCACACGAGGTCCCACTGGTGCAGGGGGTCCCACCAGGGGTCGGGGTCCCACAGGGGCACGGGGCACACAGCCCAGAGGCCGCTGGCGCTGAGGGTCAGGGATTCGCCCGGCTGCTGAGCGTGCAATAGCAGTGACAGTCGGTGCTTTTTGACAGCCGTTGCTAGGAAACAACGACAACAGTTGCTAGGTAACCACGACAACAACCGCTAGGTGATGGTGACAATAGTTGCTATGTAGCAATAACAACAGTTGCTAAGCAACAGCAGTGGTTGTTGGTGAACGGAGCGCGGCGTTGTCCCTTACAATAGGAGATGCAGGGATGGGGCAGGATGCAGAGCAGGAGTGGGGCAGGGGGGGCACCGGGCTGCACCTGGGGGGGTTGGGGGCTCTCAGCACAGCAGAAACAGGGACTGTGTTGGTGAGAGTGGGGTGGGAATGGGATGGAGATGAAGATGGGGACAGGGATAGGGATGGGATGGTGATAGGGAAAGGGGCACAGGGGCAGACTGAGATGGGGGTGGGACAGGAAGGGTCAAAAATGGCAGGGTGGGAGGTGAGAGGGATGGGGATGAGGGCATGAGCAGTGTTGGAACAGAAACGGGGAGGGGAACAGGAACAAGGATTTGGATAAGGATAAGGAGGGAACGACAGGGGACAGAGATGGGAGCAAGAATAAGAGCAGGACATGGATAGGGAGGGGAAGGGGGCAGAGGAGAAGGACAGCCCAGGGTGGAGATGGGATAGGAATGGGTACAGGGAAGGAAAGGGAAGGGACAAGGATGGGTTCAGAACAAGGACAGAGGTAGTGATAGAGATAGGACAGGAATGGGGATAGGTATAGGAAGGGGTGTAGATGGGGTTGGAACAAGCGTGGGACACGAATGGGAATGGGGACAGCAACGGGGCTGGGGATGGGATCGGGTGGGACGGGGGAGGGGGGCGGGAAGAGGGATCGAGACAAGGATGGGGCCGGGGATAAGGGCGAGAACCACGGGTGACCCAGGGTGAGGATGGGACAGGGATGGGGAAGGGGATGAGCGAGAGGGTGGGAAAGGGAGAGGACGAGAGAGGAAGGGAACAGGGACGAGATGGGATGAGGACAGGGATGGTTCTGGGAACGGGAGGGACCGGGGTGAGGCCGGGACGGATCCCCGCAGCCTCGGACGCGGCAGCAGAGGGAGCGGCCTCGCACCCCCGGGGGACCCCGGCGCGGCCCCGGCTGGGAGCGGCCCAGCTGCAGCAAACAGAGTGGGGGGGCTGCGCAAACAGCGGCGGGGAGCGGCGGGCGGAGGCTGCTCGGGCACGGGGGAATGCTGCGGGGAGCGGCGGGGGGCTCCGGCGGGGCGGGAAGCTCAGACCCTCGGCTCCGGTCCGGCCCCGCCGCCCCCTCCCCCTCCGGTCTCCCTCCACCTCCCCTCGCCGCCCCCGGCCCCGCCCCGCCCCGCTCCCCTCCGCCGGCGCCGCCCCCCGCTCACTCTCTCGGTGGCTCCGAAACGCGCGAGGCGGCGCGGAGCGGAGCGGTCCTGGCGGAGCCCCCCGGTGCCGTCCTCGGTGCTGCCGAGGAGGGCGCGATGGGCGCGGGGCGGCTCTGAGGGCTCCGCCATGGACCCGAGGCGACTGAACGAGTCCCTGCAGGAGCTGCTCTGCCGCCCCGGGAACGGTAGCGGCTCCGCCAACGGCACCGGGACCGGCCCCACCTGGAACGGCTCCGCCTGCGACCTCCTCCGCAGGGGCTTCCGGGGGCCGCCGGCGCCCAAAGGTGAGAGCGGAGCGGAGCGGGCGGGAAGGGACGGGACGGGGCGCACCGCGGGGCCCCGCACAGGAGCCGCTCCCTCCCGGTGCGTCGCGTCCCCAGCATCGCCCGGTGCTCAGCGCACGGCGGTCCCGGCGTGGGCTCGGACTGCGCGGGGGCAGCGAGCGTCCCGAGCGGAGGCGGGAGGGAAGCCTGGGAACCCCAGGGATCCCCCCTCTCCAGCGCCCCATCGCGCTGCCCGCGCACGCGGATGGCAGCGCCGGGTGATGCCCGCGCCGGACCGCTCCGCTCCCGGTGACGGCGGCCGCGGGCGCGTCCGAGGGAGGAGCGGGACTCGGGACAGGCAGGGTTCGGCCTCGGGGAGCGGCAGCACCGCGTTCCCGCCGCCCGCCCGCTGTCCCCGTGCTGGAGCTCGGCCCGCGTGGCACCGCGTCCTGGCACCGCGTCCTGGCACCGCGTGCGCCGCAGGGACGGCCGCAGGAGCTCCCGGGCACAGCGCAGGGCTGGCACGCGGAGCCGTTCCCGGCCGCGCTGCGCTGCCTGTGACCGTGCACCCGCAGAGCTGGACCTGACGGTGCGCGTCCTGCTGTACGCGCTGATCTTCGTGCTGAGCGTCTGCGGGAACGCCCTGGTGGTGGCCGTGCTGCTCCTCAACCGCCGCCTGCGCACCGTCACCAACTCTTTCCTGCTGTCCCTGGCGCTCAGCGACCTGATGCTGGCGCTCTGCTGCATGCCCTTCACCCTCATCCCCAACCTCATGGGCACCTTCATCTTCGGAGAGGCCGTCTGCAAGCTGATGGCCTACCTGATGGGTACGACGCGGGTCGGGGGCCGTGCGCCGCGCCGCGCCGCGCTGCCGCTCACCCTTCGCTGCCCGCAGGCGTCTCCGTCTCGGTCTCCACCTTCAGCCTGGTGGCCATCGCCATCGAGCGGTACAGCGCCATCTGCAACCCGCTGCAGTCCCGCGTGTGGCAGACGCGCTCGCACGCCTGCCGGGTGATCGCCAGCACCTGGCTCTTCTCAGCGCTGCTCATGTTGCCCTACGCTGTGTACAGCACCACGCGGCTGCTGCCCGTGCCCGGCGCCCGCCCGCCCCTCAGCCAGTGCACTCACGCCTGGCCCAGCGAGCACGTGAGGCAGGCATGGTGAGTGGGGGGCAACGCACGGCGCGGGGGGGGCGAGGGCTGCCGAGCCACGGGCGCTGGAATTCCAGGTATGTCCTGCTGCTCCTCGTCCTCTTCTTCATTCCGGGCGTGGTGATGATCGTGGCTTACGGGCTCATCTCCCGCGAGCTGTACCGAGGGATCCGCTTTGAGCTGGACATCAAGGGGGAAGCAGCAGGTGAGGCTCTGGGGAATGAGGAGCCACGCGGCTCTGATCAGTGCCTTCATCCCAGGGCGAGCGGCGGGGCTGAGCACCGTGCCAGGTCCCTTTGCCAAGGCCCTTGCTGATATCCGCACCGCGTTGGTGGAGGCCGCGCCGCTCTGTGCCGATGCCACCCCCCAGGTGGCGCTGCCCGGTGCCACCTGGGTCCCGATGGCGCCACATCCATGACCGCGCCTCTCCTGCCCGCAGCTCAGCGCAGCACAGACCCACTGCCTGCCTGTGACGAGGGTGACGGCTGCTACCTGCAGCTCTCCCGGCCGGGCGCTGCGCTGGAGCTGCGGGCGCTGGGAGCGGCGGGGGCGCAGCAGGAGCGGGCGCGCATCAACAGCTCGGAGGCGAAGCTGGTGGCCAAGCGGCGCGTGATCCGCATGCTGGTGGTCATCGTGGCCATGTTCTTCCTCTGCTGGCTGCCCATCTTCGCGGCCAACACGTGGCGTGCCTTCGCTCCGCGGGCGGCGCAGCGCGCGCTCTCGGGGACGCCCATCTCCTTCATCCACCTGCTGTCCTACACCTCGGCCTGCGCCAACCCGCTCATCTACTGCTTCATGAACCGCCGCTTCCGCGCCGCCTTCCTGGGCACCTGCGCCGGCTGCCGCCGCTCCTGCCCGCGCCGCGCGCCCGACGAGGACGTGGCCAACGCCAACGCGTCGCTCTCCAAGTTCAGCTACACCACCGTCAGCAGCCTCGGCCCCCCCTGAACCCGCCCGGCCCCGCGCCGCCCCCCGGCGACAATTCGCTCGTGCCCCGGCGCGGCCCCGCGGTCGTCCCCCGGATCCCTGCCTCCTCTGCGCCCCGGTGCCGCCCCGCACGCGGTGCCCGTGGGCTCCGTGCCGTGGTGCCCGTGCGTGGGGAGGCGAGGAGATGCGAGACGGGCACGGGAGGCGGAGACGGGGCCGGCGGCGGCCTCGCACTGCCTTCACCCTTCCCGTGGGGGGCCGTGGGGCAGGGCCGGAGGTGGGGCGGCGAGGGGGAAACGCCGCTCCCCGGTTTCACCGCTCCGGCCGCAATAAAGCCTTGGTCCGGTGCCGCCTGCTGCGCTTCTTCTGCCCCGCGCCGGCATCGAGTCCCGCACGGCAGGGACCGGACCGGCACGGAGCGGCGCGGCGCGGTTGGGTCGCTCCCGGAGCCACGAGCGGTGCCGCGGTCTCCCCCGGCGGGCACAGTCAGCTCCGCAGCGCACAGCGCTGACCGCAGACACGCGCAGCTGTGCGGGTTGGCACGGCCGTGCCCGCTCGGGGCGCACACAGCCGCTGCGCGGCAGCACAGCGCTGCGGACACACGCTCACGTCTGCGCTTAACGCAACCGCGCTCGGCACTCGAGTACGTTCTCAGCGTCCCGATGGGATCCGCGTCCCGCAGTGCTTTTTGCAGCCTTCTCCCCTACGAACGGGGCTGCATCTCCCGCAGTGCCCAGTGGGACTCGTCCCACACCGAGCACTATAGGACTCCATCTCCCACAATTCCCCAGCGGGACTCCATTGCCCACCGTGACCGGCAGAACTCCATTTCCCACAGTCACAGCATCACAGAACGGTCCGGGTTGAAGGGAGCTCAAGGATCACGAAGCTCCAACCCCCCACCAATGCAGGGCCACCAACCTCCCCATCTCACAGCAGCCCAGGCTGCCCAGGGCCCCATCCAACCTGGCCTTGAACACCTGCAGGGATGGACGGGGCATCACAGCCTCTCTGGGCAGCTGTTCCAGCCCCTCACCACTCTCTCTCTAAACAACTTCCCCCTGACATCCAACCTCCAGCTGCCCTCCCTCAACTCCAAACCATTTCCCCTTGTCCTGCTGTCATCTCCCCTTTCCAAGAGCTGACTCCCCTCCTGGGCAGTCAGGAGCCCCGAAATCTCACCCAAAACCTGACTAGAGACCACGAGAATCAATTCTGTTGTGATGTGGGGAAAGGGGCACCACGGTGCTCTGACCTTAAGGCCCAGCCCTCACAGCGACATGGCTGAGGACATCACCTGTGCCCCCACTAGGGCTCAGCTTGGGGGGCTGAGTCCACGTGGGATGTCCCCAAGGGCCAGCAGCACCAAAGCACGGCCCTGCATTGCACAGCGTAGGGCCGAAAGAGCAACGGGGCCGGAAATCCCAGCGGTTGCCCCTCTGCAGCCCTGCTCGCCCACGGGGCT